TTAGCGTAGGATGTTGTGAGCAACACCTAATGAATAATTGTCCCACGTAGGATGTCGTGAGCAAAACCTGAATGAACCGGTCATAAGTATTGAATATATACAAAAACAACAAAGACTTATTTTGCAACAAAAAAAAATATTAATGACTAAATGTGTACAAAGTGAGTGATATATTACCCTATTAAATATTTTTTTCCGACTTATCTGGAGTAGCCGGTCATAATGACTGAATGTCCGCAGTTTAAACAAGTTGAAGAGGTAAATATGGACGAAAAAAACTCAGTGACTAAATGTGTATAAATCAAAAAATCTATTACATTTTTAAATCATTATCCCAAAAAACAATTATCATACTTGATAAAGAGTTGTAGGTTTGTACATAAGTTTTTCTTTATATCGAATGCATTTTGTATTTTTAAGAAAATTTAACAATTTTTTTCAGAACGGCTTTTGTCCACCGTGAGACTTGAACCTCGATCATTTGAAAGAGTGGCACATTTCCAACATACCTGATATACCTAATTTCGTTGGGCTACAAACATTTTGATAAAATCAACATTTTTTTAACTTACTAGTAGAGTGTGGTCAAGATTGCCGTTAATAAAAAAAAATACATCTTTTAGTCGCATTAAAAAAATGTTCTTCAATTTTCCATGTTACGACGAAGGGGAAATAGACAAAAAATCATTATATTATTGAAGATTTTCTTTTTCATCACAACTTCATCTATTTATTTATTTATTTTATAGTATAAATTTGTCACTTTTTTTCGATTTTCAATTATAAAATTTTAACATTTCATAGGTCACTATCCGATTAGCACGAGTCGACATTATCTTATTATGTAGTGCTTATGTTGCAAGTTGGTTTTACTTCAAAAAGAAAATTTTAAGGGATGCTCGGATGAGACATAAACCCACATCCTCCATCTCGTCCAAACACCAAGTAGGCAAGACATGGCCACTTAACAATGCATGTTTTTGATGAATAACGCTTACCAACGTATTTATATAAAAATCGATATATGCTTCAACTATGTTTTTATAGTTATATGTTACTTTTGCAAATCTTTTTATTATAAAACAAGTAGTGTTTTGAAAGATCGATGGGTTGAAGATATATCTGTTGGTTTGTTTTAATAAAAAAACATAACAACGATCCGTGAATGGCAAAGTAACCTAGATATTCTTGGTAAATCATTAACCAACGTAAACAAACGACCAAATTTTCAATTCAATTATAACATGAGAAATGATTGTACATACCAATTTTTTTTCCGTACACAACAATTTATATTTTATAGAGACAAAACTGCAAAATTGATCCCTGTGGTATTCAAAAAACTTTGGATAGGGTCTAAAAAGTTTTTAACTTATATGAAATGTCCAAAATCAAGAATATCCTGTGATTTTAGTCCAAAAAATGTTGAAAGGACTATTTTGCCTTTCTCATTTCTTTTTTGTATTTTTATATTTATTTTAATACCTTATTAGTTAAAAAACAAACAAATGAAAAATAAAAAATATTTCGGGTCCACCCCACTAGCAGGTTCTCTCTCTCTCTCTCTCTCTCTCTCTCATCTTCTTCCTCTCATCCTTTCTTCTTTCACACACAAACAAATACCGACCCATCACCATCGGCCACCACTCTTCGCCACCACCACCACCATTTATTCTATCTTTACCTCTCTCTTATCTCTCATACATACATACCAAAGAAAACAAAAATATAAAAAAAACCTTTAAATCCAGAAATCAACATCAGGCCACATTCAGCAAAAAAAACTTTGGATCTGAAGTTGTGATATGCCGATGGTGGTGCTCGTCGATTCTCAGGAGGTTGCAGATACATCGACCATCCATCTTCCCTCTTTGTTACAGCCACCATCGCTTGAAACCCTAAACGTCGTCGCCATCAGTGAGCTGGAACAACATTGTTGGAGAAGGAGAGAGACATGCAGCTCAATCATTGTCTTCATCGAGTTGTAGATCGGAGAGATGGTTGTTTTGGAAATCAATTCTCGATCGAAATCCAAAATGGTTCCAGAAATCAATTCTTGATCGAAATCAAAGGAAGTGAGAAGTAGGGAGGGATAGCATGTGGGTGCATCAAATAACGTCCAATGAGTAGGTTTCTTCTCGGCGGCTCACGGGCCTTCTGAGGCGTTGAGGTGGTGGTTATATGTTCTTGAGTGGGTAATGTAGTGATGTTTGACACATTTGGGTTGATTTACTCTGGTGAAGCGATGGAGATGATGAGGATGTTTCCGGTAAGGGTTGTGGTGGATGAGGGTGGTTGGCGGTGGAGTTCATCGGTGAAATCGATGTTGTTGGGTAGAGTATTCAACTACACACTTGCATATCGATTATGGAGTGTGTGTTCATCATCGGTTGTATTTGTATGTGGAGTGTGTGTGCGAGAGTTCTTTTTGGAGAGAGAGAGAGAGAGAGAGAGAGAGAGAGAGAGAGAGAGAGAGAGAGAGAGAGAGAGGGCCCAATTCTTTCATTTTCAATTTTCAATTAATAAATTATTAAAGAAAATATTATAAAAATACAAAAAAAGAAATAAAAAGGGCAAAACAGTCTTTTCAAGTCCTCCAAGGACCAAAACCAAAGGAAATTTTTAAGTTTGGACCTTCCATGCAAGTTGAAAACTTTTTGGACCTTATCCAAAGTTTTTTGAATACCACAGGGACCAATTTTACAGTTTTGTCTTTTATAGAGTTGTACAAAACATTTTAAAGCATTAATTGTTGTATATGGAGAAAAAGTGTTGTGTACGAATCAAATCCCTTATCACATGGATGTGTTTGTTTGGACTGTGGCGAAACAAGGAGGCATGAGTTGAGTCAGCCAATTGGTCAACGGCTGGAGAACGCATTGGTTTCTGATCTTGATGTTGATTTGGTTCAAGAACTCATAAAGATCTTCAAGATGCAAGATTAGGCTGTTGATCATGGTTCCGAGCATGGCTTTCTAGATGTCTAATGTGTTGACCCTTCTTCCAAAGTCAAAATAGTCAAGCTCATCCATAGCTACCTTGCTGAAATCTCCCCTCAAATTCATGTGGTATCGCGTGGGATTGAATTCAATCACTATCATATTAAGCTTTAGATAGTTATTGTTGTTTGTGCAATTCTAATTTAGAGTTAACTAATGGAATTTATGATTATTCCTCTATTATGGAAGAAAATTGTGTTTTGTAGGTTTTTAAGCTTAACTATGGTATGGTTGGCCTCTTAATAAATACAGAAAATAATAAACAAAAGTTACAAAACAATAAATGGGAGGGTAAAATGGCCATTTCACATAAATTTAACAATATGTTTGAGTTTGAAACTATAAAGATAAGTTGTAGTAATTTTTTAAAAGTTAGTACTCAAACTGCCAAAATTATATCGTCATGACATATTGACATTTATATACAATTTTTTTGGTAAAGCGTTGATAGTGATATACTTAAAAGATCCACCCAAGTCGACATCAACAAACAACTTAAAGATCATATAGTGGAAAATTTTAGGTTTCACCATGTTTTTGCTTCTTATTTACACGCGGAAATCACTATAAAATAATAAAATTAAATTCACTCGTACTTTTCTATTGCACCCCTTTTCAGTTTAACTTTTTTATATTGTATGTATTCAATTATATGATTACTAAATTCAACCAAATGATCAAACTCTCTTTAGGTTTTAATATATA